AACCTTAAAATACCAAAAATTGTGAAATATAAAGTACATCGGGATTCAGGTGTTACAATTCTTCCCCACAAGAATCAGACTTCATCCTTGAAGTCCGTATCCGTAAATAAATCGGGGTAATGCTCTATCATCTCATCCTCCGGCTCCCACGTTCACCCAAAACCCCTTTGGTGCTGCCATTTAACCTTTACCATGTTCACCACTTTTTTGTGCAAAGACTTCGTCTTGCTATCGAGAACTGCAATCTGTCTCTCTACATAATTCAGGCGCTCATCGACTTGAATTTCATCCAAAGGAATCACTGCAGAATCATCGGATAAACACTTTTGTAACTAAGATACATGGAAAGTATTGTGTATCTGGCTGAGCTCTTCAGGCAACTCCAATCAGTATGCAACCTTGCCCACCCTGGCGATAATCCATAAAGGACCGATAAATCGGGCACCTAACTTTCCCTGCTTCCAAAATCGGATGACACCCTTCTAAGTAGACACCTTCAAAATTACAAAATCCACCACCTGGATCTCGAGATTCGAACGATGTCGGTCGGCATAACTCTTCTGTTGACTTTACGCGAACAGCAACCGGTTATGCACCTACTATATCAACTCGATGATCTTGAGCACCACTTTAGTACTTCCCATGACATGATGCCCGACCTCGCCCCAACAAACCAGGGTCCTACACTTCCTCCCGTGAGACATCTCGAAAGGTGGTTGATCAATACTGGTATGGTAACTGTTGTTGTAGGAGAACTCGACCAGTGGAAGATAAGTATCCTAAATCCTTCCAAAATCTAGCACACACGCCCTGAGCATATCTTTTCGATGGACTGAATAGTCCGCTCACTCTGTCCATCGGTCTAGGGGTGGTATGTTGTAATAACATGCAACTAAGTACCTAAATACTCATGAAACCTCCTCCAAAACCTAGAGGTAAAACGAACGTCTTGATCCGAAACCACCAAAACAAGCACCCCATGCCAAACCACCACCTCCCGGATGTAAACGTCGGCCAACTTCTCGGCTAATATATTCTCGGAAATCGGAATGAAATGAGGACTCTTGGTCAATGTATCAACACTGACCTAGATAGAGTCAACATCGTGTGCCGTCCTCGACAACTTTGGGGTGAAGTCCATAGTGATCTCTTCCCATTTCCACATGGGAATGGGTAACAATTGCATCTTGTTGTGAGGCCTCTGATGTTCGACCTTGACTTTTCGGAAACTCAAGCATCACTCCACAAACCATGCTTTCTTCCTCTTCATACAGGGCGACCAATAGCTCAAGTTCAGATCTCTATATATCTTTATGGCCCCTGGATGGATTGAAAACTTTGACTTATGAGCCTCTTCCAACACCGTCTGTCTCACTCCATCAGTAATCGGAACCGAAACCCTTCCACATTGAGTTAACAAGCCCTAACAATCTCTAACAAATGATGGAATCTTCCCCCTGAGTTGCTCTGCCTTCCAATTTTCCTTTTTTCAGTCCCTCTACTTGAGCCTTTTTGATCATATCTAAAAGTGGAGAAACAATAACCATCATCAGAAATAAGTATCCAATAGGTGTACTCGTCGTCTTACGGCTCAAGGCATCAGATACAACATTGGCCTTCCCAGGATGGTACAGGATTTAACAATTATAATCCTTTACCACATCCAGCCATCTCCACTGTCTCATGCTCAAATTAAGCTAATTCATCAGATATTTCAAGCTCTTATGATAAGTGAAGATAGTACATATAATGCCTCCAAATCTTGAGAGAAAAAAACTATAGCCCCCGGCTCCAAATCATGTGTAAGGTAGTTCGCCTCATGAGGCTTCAACTTCCTCGAAGCGTAAGCAATCACATGTCACATATGCATAAGGAAACCTCCCAATCCTACAATAGACACATAAAAATAAACTAATAAATCATCCATGCCCTCGGGAAGAGTAAGCATCAAGGCCTCACACAATCTCTATCCCAATGTCTCAAAAGTTGATTGCTGATCAGGCACCCAACAAAAGGTAACATTCATCCTTGTTAAGTGGGTCAAAGGCACAACAATCTTGGAGAAATCATGGATAAATCTCCGATAATAACCCACGAGACGTAGAAAACTCTGAATCTCCGATGGGGTTCTCGGAACCTCCCATCTCATCACTGTCTCAATCTTAGTCGAATCGACCAATATACCCTTCTGGATGACGATGTGCCCCAAAAACTGCATCTCACACAACCAATACTTGCATTTGATCAATTTCGCATACAACCTCTCCCTCCTCAGAATCTCCAGTACCTCCCATAAATGATCCTCGTGTTGCTCCTGGGACTTGGAGTAGACCAAAAAATCCTCAATAAACACGATCACTAACCAATCAAGCATCAGTCTGCATACCCAGTTCCTGATATCCATGAACGATGTTGTTGTGTTGGTGAGCCAGAAGGGTATCACCACGAACTCGTAATGACCGTAACGAGTCCTGAAGGCTGTCTTCTATACGTCCTCGTTTTTGAACCTCATCTGATGGTAACCTGACCGTAAATAAATCTTGGATAACCAAGATACACCCTGAAGTTGGTCAAACAGATTAACAATGCTCAGGAATGGGTAATGGTTCTTCGTTGTTAGCTTACTCAACTCCCGTTAAGCGATGCACATTCTGTGAGAACCGTCCTTTTTCAAAAAAAAGGATCAGTGCTCCCCATGCTGAGCTACTCGGTCTGATAAACCCCTTGTCTAACAGCTCTTGAAGCTGCGTAGACAACTCATGTATCTCTGGTGGTGCTAATCGACATGGTGCTTTGGCTATCGGGGCAGCACCAGGAACCAAGTCAATCCGAAACTTAACCTGCCTCTTGGGAGGCACTCCAGGAAAATACTCAAGAAATACATCAAGAGAATCCTGACAAATGGGCACGTCACTCACAGTTGCCATGCCCCCAACTCGAGTATTTTCTACATAGGCCAAAATTCCATAACAGCCCTGTTGTATAAATCTTCTAGCCCTCACGGCTGAACAGAGAGTCGGTCCGCGCCGAGCACCCTCACCATGAATAACAAATTCTCCCCCACTTGGGGTTCAAACCCTCACTAGCTGGTGCTCACAATCAATTATGGCACCATTAGGACGCAACCAATCCATCCCTATAATAACTTTCGACCCTGACAACTGAATCAGAACTAAATCAATCGAATATCTCTCACTAACTAAATTCAGAACACACCCTCGATGAACTCTCGAAGCACTTACTGAGTGGTCATCGGCAATCTCTACCTCCAATCAATAATCCAAATCCCCATGAGCATCACCAAACTTCTTGCTAAGAGCAAGAGATACAAAAGATCAGGCAGCACCCGAGTCGAACAGAACATAAGCAGTCATACCATTGACTAAGAGAAGTCCTTATACATGGTCAAATAAAAGATAAGCATAAATAAATGGAATAATAACAAATAAGATAAGGAAGCATACCCGCAACCACATCAGACGTCGTTATCTCCTCCTCAATCGTCACATGAAACACCCTGCTCTTCACTATAGTTGCCTCCACCTTTTCCTGACAGGCATAGGTAATACTCAAGGTGGATGGTGCAGGCGCCGCCACTGCGCCTCCTGACAACCTCTGACAACCTGCCTTTTTATGGCATGTCTGGTTGCAGTGAAAACAAATCAATGTACTCAGGGGACATCCCTACTCATAGGACCGGTCTATCCATATCTGTAACAATCCAAACTCGTTGATCGACATGCCCCACCATGCGGCTTTTCACACTTTCCGTAGCGGCTCCGACCATCACTATAGAAAAAAAGCCTTTTACGACGCACAATTAATGAAACACACTGATAGAGGACGCGCATTTGTGCGTGCCCTAAAAATTAATGTCAGTTTTCCAAAATTTTAAGGATAGAGGACACGCATTTATGCGAGCCCAAAAATTAGTGTCAAACAAAACAAAATTAAAAACACGGACAACACTTATTTTAAGTGTGTGTCATCTACAAATGTCGCTTTATATTTTTTTTAACTAAACGCGTGTTTTTAAAGAAGGATCCTCTAAAATTCTAAAATTTTAAAATTTTGAATACGCCGCTTCTGCACTCTCTCCTCTGGGTCTCCTTATCTCTCGTAAAATCGCACAAAGCCATTCTCTCCCTCCTCTCTCTCTTAACCCTAGACACAGCCACTGGCCATTCACGACGATGTCTTCTTACCCTTTCCTTCTTCCTTGCTCCATATTTTTGACCTTCGTCGGAGCTATCTTCTTCTCCCCTGCCACCACCAACAAACCACAGCCTTATTCATTACCCTAAAAACCATACTCATCTTTCACCTCTCATAATCTCTCTCATAACACTTAGGTTTTTGACAATGAAAAAAATCGCTCTATTGTTGACTCTCTTGTTTATGTATTGTTATGGTCTTCTCAAATCAGAGTTTCCTTGAGTGAGTTCACATTTAATTCTATGACTTGCCTCTCCTCTTCTCTACAGACCTAATTACGACATCTAGATGTACGAATCGCTCTACTGTTGACTCAAATTTCTCCAATTTCTTTTGAATTTTCAGATTGTTGAGAAGAACGTGAAGGAAGTAGAGATTACTGAGCATGATTTGTCATGATTTTTTGTTCTGCTTACAAGCCCTAGGTCCTATTTCAAGAAATATCTCATTCTATTCAATGAAGCAGGTCTGATTCTTCTCTTCTGGTTGCACTAAGGTATGTCGTGCTTACCGTTATTCATCTACTTTCTTTCCTTCCACAGCAGCTATTACCTGTAACGAGCTAGGGCATAGTTGACGAATAGTGGAAAGAATGGTATGAGGTATAACGGTAAATTCCATGTAAGAACATATGCACACAATCCATTTGATCAAATGTCTCTTTAAAGTTGTAACTTTGTTGGTTATAATATTGTGATTATCGAATTATCTAAATTAATTCTTCTTATGTATGTTGCAGGAATTAGGTATTAACAAGATACTAATTATTGATTGGGATGTTCATCATGGAAATGGTACTTAAAAGACCTTCTATAAGGACTCCCAAGTGTTGTTCTTCTCTGTAAACAGGTAAATGATTAGTTATCAATATCAATAATAATCTCTTATTAAAAAATTTGAGGTTTAAAAAACTATAAATAATGCAGGGATGAGTATGGAACTTTTTATCCTTGTGGTGATGATGGATCATATGACATGAAGGGTGACGGAGAAGGTGAAGGGTACAATATAAATGTTCCATGGGAGAATGGAAAATGTGGTGATGCATATTATATTGCAGCATGGGACTATATATTGATCCCTGTTGCAAGAGAATTTAAACCTGATATAATTCTAGTTTCAGCCGGATTTGATGCAGGTCAGTTCTACTTCTACTAAATCTCGGTGTTCATAAAGTTATGTTTTTGGGACTATAATTTTTCATTTTTGTATTTTGAAACAGCTATTGGTGATCCTCTTGGAGGCTGTCGTATCACACCACATGGTTTTGCTATATTGTTGAAGAAGGTTAGCACCATGTTCTGAAAAATAAGTCATAAAATTGTCTTGAGGTTTATTTAATGGTGGTTGATGGTTTTGTTTAGTTGATGGAGTTTAGCAATGGAAAGATAGTTATGGCATTGGAGGGAGAATACAATCTCAACTCAATAGCAAATTTAGTACTTTCTTGTTTACAAGTTCTATTACAAGACAAACATATTTTTGTACCCTCTGAGATTTATCCATTTGAATCCACTTGGAGAGTAATCAAAGAGGTAAGTAAACATCTTACTCTGAAATTTTGTTTAATCTTTTTCTGAATTTGTGAAATTTTTATTTTTTTTATTATATGTGTTCAGGTTCGTGAGGAATTGAGTGCATATTGGCTGATACTTGCAGAGAAGTTACCTGAGAAGTTAACCAGTAAAGTAACACCTCTAGTTAAGGTAACTCAACCCTCTTTTTTGTCTTTTTTGTAGTGTGTTTATTGATTTGAATTGAGGTTATGTATGATGTATGTTGTAATAAAACGGTTACCAGTTATCTGTTCCAATAAGTTGAACATACTTACAGTGGCCGATCCAGTATACTAGAAGTGAGGTGTGTGGACCCCACTCAGAAATGGGTCCCACCAACAATATTATAGAAAAAAAAAGAATGCCAGCTCGGATTCTCAGGTACGCATGTGCAACAAGTTTTTTGCAACCTCACCAACGATATTATAGAAAAAAATTGCTTCGTCCCATGTCTACTGATCTACCAAACAATACCATCATCTATGTTTTTGTTATTATTCTTTGAGACTCTTAGTATTGCTTTCGAAACACTACAGGTACACACACACGCTGACCTATGTAGTTATATACTTTTATTTTTCTTTTAGGTTTTCATAATGTTTTTGGTTTTAGGTGATTTTGGTTCATGGGTTTCAACTGGTTGATATATGGGTTCACCACTCAAAAGGCAACACCACAAATTCCAAAATATCAAAACTTTTAGATATGTCGGCAGCAGGCAAGACTCTGATTTTTATCATTCTGTTCTGCTGATTCACATTGACTTGTTAACTAAATCATGGGAATGGATGTGTGCAGGTTCACTGTAGGAGTGGAAGAGTGTTAACTAAACCTTTTGCTTTTTTTTTGGGGGGGGAATAGGAGGTTAGAGGCGGATTCAGGTTGGTTGGGATTTGATGGGGGGAGGGTCCATCGAGATCGGTGGGTTTAGAAAGAGTCCAGATGATGATGAGACACCTGGCAGCTGTTGGTGAAATGTATGCCCAAACTGCCCTTGAACATGTTGCTTGGAATTTGTGGCCTGTAAATCCTTCTCAGGCCAACACATCTACATCCACTTCTTCTTCAAACAATCCAAATCCTTCCACAAGTACTGTAAGACACCGAGGAGGACACAATACTAGGGGTGGGGTGGGTCCCTCATCAGAACCATGCCACCTCCACCTGTCGCGGATGTTGACTTGTCAAACATAATCGCCATGGTTGAAACTGTTCGTGAAGTCCTTCCCCATGTCCCTGATGAATTAATATTACGGGTACCTATCCTCTCTCTCTCTCTCAATTCCTTTTTATTTAATTTTTCGAATTAGACATGGACATGAACATGATATGATAAAAAAAAAGGCAAGGGTGGTTGTCTGGTCAGTGGTCATTGGTCATTGGAGGGAGGTTGTGTGCTGACGTCAGCCACCCAACCACACACAATGTCCTGTAAGATTTCAGAGCTATAGTTTTTTTGTATACAGGAAAAAATAAATTAGACAAAAATGTTGATCAAACTATAGCCCCCCTCCCCTCCACCTGTTTGAGCTTTTAGGGAAAAATGAAAAACAAATTTGTTGTATGTATTATCGATTGAGATTACGTATGTGAATGATTAACTGGTTTGCATTTCTTGTTTTGTAATAATAATTAATTTAATGAAAGGGATCTATTATGTGGGACAGGGATAGGAACAGTGGAGGTGGTCAAGTGAGATCCCGTTGCTTTTATTGGGGTCTAGTGTTTATATTTGGGACTTGATAATAAGTAGGAAAATGGCTGTTTGTACCGTATATCTTCAACCCATCTGGCTTCGAATGGCAGATGTATGCTTCCAGTTATTTTATTTTCTTTTTCCAAATTCATGAATCTATCTTATAAGATTTTGATTATTGGGATGTGATGTGAATAGAGCTATGGAAGATTTTGATGATTGGACTAATTGGCTTATGTATAAAGGTGGAGTTGGAGTGAAAGGAGACAATAGTTGGGAATCCTGGTGGGATGAAGAACAGACACATATCTAGACAATCAGAGGGCGTGTACTTGAAACTATCTTGTGCTTGAGGTTCTTCATATTTCAATACAGGATAGTCTACAAGCTCCAGCTCACTGCAAATAATACATCATTATTGGTACTTATTATTTTTATTTATTTCACTTTTTTTCTACGTGAAAATATACTGACAAAAAATACATTACATGACATGATAGGTTGGTTGAGTAGCTTTATGGGTTCTCATGGGTGGTGTTAGATGGAATTGTGATGATATACTCTCTAGTTCATAGGATCAAGGATTGTCTATTAGCCTAAGGTATTATCTGCAACGAACATTCCATGTTTGATTCTTCTAATAATTATATTAGCATATTAATTTTTTGACTTTTATTTGATCAGGTCAAAAGAATTATCGAAGAAGGGGTTCATTAGTCTTAAAGAATTATGAAAGGCAAGATACCACTCTACTTAGTTGGAATTTGATGTTTATCATCTTTGTGTATATCTTTTTAGTTTGTATAGCATTACATTGCAGAAGGTGTCCCTTAATAGCAATGTAGTATTAGGTTATATAGTTAGGGAAAACCTCTTAATAACCATGTACAATTAGATCCCCTTAATATCAATGTATTACAATTTTTTTGACATGATGTTATTAGATGAAATTGATTGTTTTGGTATATATTTGTTTACATATTTTTGTATTATGCGTAAATGAGTATCCTAAAGACGCGTCGTAAATGCATATCGTAAATGGTTACTGAAGTTTATGACGCGCAAATGCGTGTCATCTTCATGTATGACATGGGCTTCCTTAATACGCATTGCGTGTCACAAACATGCACGTCGTAATGTTACGACACACAAATGCGTGTCGTCTTCCTTTATGACAGGGGCTCTCTTGATACGCATTGCGTGTCATAACTGCGTGTCGTAAATGCGTGTCATAAATGCGCGTCGTAAATAGACGACGTGTAAAAGCGTGTCGTCTCTCGTTATGACAGGTTCCTTGACATGCATTTGCGCGTCGTCTGAGCATTTTACGACGCGCATTGCGCGTCGTAAAAGGCTATTTTTCTAGTAGTGCATGTTGCCCCTAGTATGCAAATTAGAGGTCTTGGGCGTCTTAGCCTGGCCCACTATTGTCTGAACCTGCTTCGACTTGCGCTTCCTCTGAAGCTCCGGCTCAATCTCCCACTCACGGGCCCTTTTAATCACATCATTCAGGGTCTTGCAAACCGAAAATATCACAAACTCTCTGATGTCATTTCTCAACATGTCATGATATCTCGTCTTCTTCATATGTTCATCTGCAGCCTACTGCGGAACTAACAGAGCCCTCTCACGTAACTTGGCGATGATCTCCGCCATAGTCTCAGTAGTGTGACGAAGGTCCTGAAACTCCCTCTCCAGCTGATGCACCTTAATCGCTGGTGCAAACTCCCCCTAGAATATCGTAACAAATTCCCCCAAGTCATGGCCATCACCGCCGCAGATCCCAACGCTCGGTCGACCTCATCTCACTAGTCACGTGCTTGGTCTCTCAGAAGGCAGAATGCAAACCCTACCTTTGCCCCCTCATGGAAAAAACTCATCCGCTGAGCATTCTCCATGTCAGTGATCCAGCGTCGGCTAGTGATAGGGTCCTTAGCCATAAAGAACAATGGAGCTCCATAGGCCTTGAATTCCCAAAATGAGGGAATTCGTACTCTTATCTGCCCTACAACGATCTTTTCCTTGGAGGGCACCGAGTCACTCATCCATAAGCTCCATAATCCCATCCTTTATGGTACCGAATTCCTCAAACCAAGGCTCTAATACCAACTTCTAACATTCCAAAAACTGGTATAAAATTTTCATTTTCAAAATCATCAATCCTATACATCATATGTCTAAAAAAGTACCATGATACAAACTATTTCAGAGTAAAAAAAAAAGATCATAATTGCGAAAACATGAGGGGAAAATTGTAATGACCTAAAAATCCAGGGTAAAAATTTTATTTTTAATTATAGTCAAACACAAATGTTACTTAATCTAACCATTAAAAAACATTGCTAAATTAAAACATTTATTAGAGTTACATCCCAAAATCACATAATGCGGAAAACACGGGTGCGTACGCTGCGATCAAGCCCGACCTTTCCTTTCCAAACCAATGATACCTGAAACAATAAACAAAATTGTAAAGATGAAGCTTAGTAAATTCCCCAGAGCATACACCACATAATCCACATAATCTCATAAACCATACCAATCACATAAGCCATATAAGCTACATATAAGGATGCCATGGAAACCCTCCACGGTCTTACACCAAGATGTCGTGGGCTCCCCTAGGGTCTTATACCTATGTATCATGGGCTCCCCCATGGTCTTTACCTGGAACGCCATAGGCTCCCCCCGTGGTCTGATATCTAACCGCCACGGGCTCCCCCCGAGTTCTTCCATGTTAATGACACAGAGTCAACAAGCATACCACATGTCACAGAAACACAAAGATCATACTACATAACACATATATAAACATATAGGGATGTCGTGGAGTCCTTCCAGGGTCTTACACCACAATGTCGTGGGCTCCCCCCCAGGGTCTTATAACTATGTGCCATGGGCTCCCCCCATGGTCTGATATCCAACTGCGACGGGCTCCTCCTGGGGTCTTCCATGCCTAACCAATAAAGTACTAGCACATTCACATACATACTAGGCATATCCATAATGATTCCACAAGAATCATATCAAGTAACTGAATGGGCCGACCTTGGTACCTTCGACCCATTAGTATGGTGAGGAGACTCACCTCGAATGCTGAAACTCCATGCAAGAAATCCTTAGTTGCTGCCCTGAAAACTCCTCGAGCTATCAATATGTAAATATCACCCAATTTGCAATTGGCTCCCAAACCATGATCCATAATCCATACTTGGGGGTAAGTCGACCATTTTACCCCTGGCCCTACAAGATTCATAACTACGTCCCAAGCCCAAAAACCGACAAGGCCCAAACTATAAAATCCATAAAAGTCGATCAATGGCCCAATTTTCCAAATTGGGCCCAAACCCTTACATGGGCTTTTCCTTAAAGCCCACTTACTTTTCTAAACCAACGACTTTTCGATGGCCTAAAGGTCCAAGCCCATTAGTCCCAATCAAGGCCTAACTATATTGGACCCATTGAGGCCCAATTCATCATCCAAGGCCCATTAGGGCAAGCCCAGCAAGGCAAGCCCAACCAGAAGTCCATTACCTTAAAATCCCTAGCCCATTATGAGCCCAAACCAAAGGATAAGTCCAAGACCAAGCTAGCCAACCATTAATGATTCCAAAACTTGCACAGGTGATGCTCATGTCGTGAGCACCTTATGCTCACGTCGTGAGGTCGTGATTTCTATCCAGAAATTTCCTCAAACCCGTTCTCACGTCGTGAGGTCTTATTCCTCACTTAGTGAGACCAGATCTGACAAAAAATGAGCATTAACCTCCTAATCCATTAAGTCATAACACGGGACAGTCTAGAGGGTCTTCTTTGACCCCAAGGAGCATAAAAATCGATGTTTTTCAGTCATGTATGTCCAATACATGACTCAAACACCAACTTGGGTCAAATGGAGGAAAAAGGACCAAGACTCAAGCTTGGAGTCCAAAACCATGACCAAAATCAAGATCTAGAACTTATAGGACTTAAGATACCATCATAATCCATAACGTAAGGTTGGAGTCCAAAACCAAGACCAAAATCCAGATCTAGAACTTATAGGACTTAAGATACCATCATAATCCATAAAGTTGCCACCTTTATGGATTCCATGCAAGCTAACCAACATTACCAGCCATAAAATGTATGGAAACTTAGATCTAGCAAGCAAGGAAAGTAAGGGCATGAGCTTGACGATCTACAAAGGTCCAAAAGCTCCCCAACTAGCTGATGATGAAGCAAAAATGCTAACAAACGCACCACCAATGATCTTCTTCTTCCTCAAAGGGCTTCAAAGCTTCAAAATCTCTTGAATAACACCAAGAATGACCATGGACTTCAATGGGGACTAATATTAGGGATTCCAAAGGTCTAATAGGTGAAGGAGGCTGAGGAGAAGCAACCCTAATCATGTAATACCTTTAAATACCCGAAAATAAGGGTTTTGGAGCATCAGGCGCTTCGCACGTCGTGAGTACTTCATGCTCACGTCATGAGCCTTAAATGAGCTTGACGTTCTTAATTTCAACTCCGTTTTTAATTCCAACTTCAAACGGCCATAAGTTCTTAATTTCAACTCCGTTTTTGACGTTATTTATATCCACGGAATGGTGGCAAGAAGCTCTACACATCTACCAACTTATCCTCACCTCAAAACATTCTGAACAAAAATCCAAAATTCATAAAGAGCTTGAACTGCCACTTTACCGATATACCCCTTGGCCCCAAGATACAACCCAAACTCCCGGATCACCTCAATACATTATCCGTACCTAAATGGGTCGAGACCTCTCTTTTCCAAAGGCCCTAAGCTTTATGATAACCTATCTTCAGGATACAGTCCCCAATTAGGAAAGCAATTCGGAACAGGGCGTTACACCTCTCCCCCACTTAAACTAGATTTCATCCTCGAAATCACTCATTACTAATACTCACACCAAACACACAACCAGAGGAACTCAACCAAAAATTATGCGCACATAGCGAGCTTCCCTAAGACAACCGAGCCCCAAATCAAAGCTTCCATCCCAAAGGGAAACAAACCTTTAGATTCTGCAACCACTTCTGCCTTCCGAAGATCCTAATTCTATAATGGTATGTCTCTGTGAGAGACTCGTCACACCGAACTGCCACCAAACCATCCTCATAGAGTCTCACATTATACAAGATGCTTCCAATCCCTTATCACATTGTCATCTCGACGGAGACAAAGTCACTGACCATGTACTGCTAAAGAATACTTAACTCGAAAGGAGGCTCAGATAATCCTTTGAGTAGAAGATTGATCCCTGCAACGGTTAGACTCAGACGAAAGCTGCACAACAGGGTCAA